AAATTAAAAAGACTTTTCAAATCAACAAAACATGTACGGGTATGCATGAAATCGCGCGATCGCAAACATCAAAATACCGTGGGAGGGGGGAAACCCCCCCCCCCAAAAAAAAACACCCTCCCCCCAACCCCCCCCCCCCCCCTGACGCGGTATGCCAGGTTTGCCACTGCCTGTAGCTATATAGGAACAAAATCCGCCAATGCACATTATCCGCCGTGTTCACTAACGGCAGATTTGGTTGTAGCGGGTACGATATCCGCTGCTGATCACGATATCTGCTAGGCAGATTTTGTTCCGAGAACACGATCCGCCAAGGTAACAAGATCTGCTGTTACACCGGCCGGCCGGCGAACTTTTTTTTCCTACGAACTTTTATACCTGGCGCATGCTCACATATACGAACTGTTATACTTCACGCATGCAAGGAGGTCACAAACAATTAGACTTATTGCTTTGCCTCACTATTTATAAAGGTAAAAAACTAAATAAACTGAGATTTGAACCCTCACGGCAACTCCAAGGTTCTTTGTTCACCAACCACGGATGGGCCGTCGTGGTGGTGGAACCGGTCTCGCTTATAAAGAGACAATCAACGTCCATCAAGTTGCTGCGGGTGAAAAGGACTCCTTTGAGTTTGCAGAATATTCTATCTCATGTAAATCATTTCGCTTGCAACTAATTAATATCTATAGACCGCCCTATTCTGAATCACATCCAGTGACGGTTACATCTTTTGTATCAGAATTTAATGACTACATTTAATGTCATTTGTTGTCAAACACTCCTTTATTGATCATAGGAGATTTCAATATTCATGTGGATACTGCCAATGCAGATGCTAGACTCTTTGTAGATCTTCTCGAATCGCTTTGTTGTAAACAATTGGTTAATTTCTCTACACATGTACACGGTCACACCCTTGACATCATGATATGTCGTCAGTCTGATGATATCGTATTTGGGTCACCATGGCCACATAGTTCTATATTATCTGATCACATTCCAGTCATGTGTTTTCTAAACTCTTCTAAACCTCCATTGCCTTCTAAACTGATATCATTTCGAAAGCTGTCTGCTATTGATGTGAATAGATTGAAGTTAGACATCGCTGAAAGCGAGCTCTGTATGCACACACCTAGTACCCTCACTGAACTAGCTTTATTGTATGATACTACGCTTAGTGATATCTTAGAGAAACATGCCCCTGTTGTTACTAAACAGATAGTGTTACGTCCCCAAGTACCGTGGTATACTGACTGTAAAAAGGAAAAAGAGAAAGGCTGAAAAGCGCTGGTTGAAAACTAGGGCCGATAGTGATTGGGACAACTATAAGTCTGTTCGAAATGCAACATTGAAACTTTTGAACAAAGCTCGTGGAAAATATCACAGAGATCTGATCATGGAAAATAAGGATAATCAAAACAAGTTATTCAATGTTGTCAAGTCTCTATTGAACATGTCTAATAAACAACCCCTGATACCTTGTAGTACTGATAAACATAAGTTTGTGAATGACCCAGGTGATTATTTTCGTGACAAAGTCGTGAAAATCCACAAGAATATTGAAACTAGATTAGATGCAATGAATGAACCCAGGACCTATTCTCCATTAGCAACTTACCATGATGTCGATGTTTTGAGCAATTTCAAACCTCTTTCTGAGCACCAAGTTGAAAAACTTATACTTAACCTCAGTAAGAAGTCATGCTCTTTAGATCCTATGCCCACGAAACTTCTTCTACAATGTATCGACATATTAATTCCTGTGTTCACATCATTGATTAATCTTTCTCTCTCGACTGGTCATTTTCCCATGCAATGGAAAAATGCCCTCATCACACCTTTATTGAAAAAACCTGACGCAGATTTTAAGAACTTAAGACCTATCAGCAATCTGAAATATATATCGAAGTTGGTTGAGGGTGCTGCTACCCAGCAAATTATGGATCACCTCAATAACAACTCACTTTTGCCATGTACTCAGTCTGCATATAGACAATTCCATAGTACTGAAACTGCACTGCTAAGAATAAAGAGTGATCTATTGATGGCTATGGATTCCCAGAAAGTCACTCTTTTACTGTTATTAGATCTAAGTAGTGCATTCGACACCATAGATCATTCTTGCTTATTAGAAACTTTAAAGACCTGTTTTGGCATAGATGGTAGTGTTCTTGAATGGATAGAGTCGTATTTGGCGAATAGATATCAGAAGGTCGAAATAGACGATGTGATCTCTGATGATCTGCCAGTGCCTTTCGGAGTTCCACAAGGTTCTCGGCTGGGTCCTTTGTTATTTACTCTGTACACTGCTAATCTCATTTCAAATGTTCGAACAAATTTCCCCGAGATATCATGCCACTGCTATGCAGATGACACACAGCTGTATGTATCATTCAGACCTGATGAACATGCTAAAGAGCGATGTGTCTCACTCCTAGAAACATGTGTTGACTATGTACGCGGATGGATGTTGCAAAATAGGCTCATGCTTAATGATGGTAAAACTGAATTAATGATCATTGGCACACCTAAACAGACATCCAAAATCAACTTAAACAGTGTATCAATTGGAGACTCTGTAATAAAACCATCTGTTAGTGCAAGAAATCTTGGAGTACAGTTCGATTCGAATTTGAATATGAGAGAGCACATCACAAATGTCTGTAAATCAGCATACTACATGATCTTTAATCTCAGACGTATTCGTAAATATTTAGATAAGGACATTACGAAAGACATTGTACATGCATGTATCACCAATAAGCTGGACTATTGTAATGGTCTACTGTATGGGATCCCTGACTGTCAAATAGTGAGACTGCAACGGGTTCAAAACACCTGTGCAAGGCTGATCTGTGGTTGTTCTAAATTCACACGGATCACCCTAATTTTAAGAAATCTACATTGGTTACCAGTACGCCAGAGAATAACATTCAAAATCTTGCTGATTGTATATAAAGCACTTCTTGGTCAAGCTCCCACTTATATCAAAGAACTGTTGAATTTCAAACCTAATCAACACAATCGCAACTTGCGCAGTTCCCGAGATACTTTGTTGCTACAGATCCCATCTATTAAAACAAAAATAACGCTAGGTGATCGAGCATTTGCTTGTGCAGCCCCAAAACTCTGGAATAACTTGCCATTTGAAGTCAGGAAATCACCATCTGTAAACGTCTTTAAGTCAAAACTGAAAACACTTCTTTTTAATTAACTGTACCGTAAATCTAAGCATATCAGGAGCTCTTGTAGCGCAGTAGAATATATACATAATGTTGGATAGTTTCTGCGCTTTATAAATGTACTATTATTATTATTATTATTATTAGTAACACTCTGTCCTTACCGATTGAGCTAACGATGAGTTGATGAAAGATTGCTTTGTATAATTACTATCACCCTATTGACCGCCCTACCGGATTCCACGTGCGCATGCGCTGTTTTCCTTCGCGAGTGCGCATGCGCAGGTTCCCCTCGCGAGCTAAAAGTTCGTAGGAAAAAAAATTTCGCGGCCGGCCGGGGTTCGGCCCAATGCATTTTGTGTATAGAGTACAGAAGCTGTGACGTCATAAAAATCTATTTTTAGAATTTCTCAATTTTTTCTTCATTTTCTGAAAGAGCATCAAAAATAATGTCCAAATGTCGAAGACCAATTGAATAATGGTTAGGAGCCAGAGCAAATAACACTGAGTTCCCATAGGACATATATTTATTCAGATGTTCATATCTCAACCAATACTTAACATATTCAATTGGTCTTCGACATTTGGACATTATTTTTGATGCTCTTTCAGAAAATGAAGAAAAAATTGAGAAATTCCAAAAATAGATTTTTGATGACGTCACACTTCACCACTCTATATAGTGGGATTCTTATTATTCTGAAGTTTATGAAGTGCTTTTCGCGCACGTCGCGCAACTATTCTTAATGATAGTGACATACTGTATACGTGTAGGCTATACAGTTATACATACATAAAAAAAAATAACTCATTTCTCATGCATTATGCTGAAATTGAAACAATCACATTTTTTTCTTCTTTTTCTTCTTCCTTTTTTTTCTCTCTTTTTGTTGTAATATCAGGGGATATGTTTGTACAGGCCATCCCACCTACTTCAAGCTAGGGGGGATGCAGCCCCCATCCCCCCGGGATTTACGCCCCTGAAATTCATCACTGAACTTAAGACCCAAGGTCGGGTTGAGGCGTAAGAAAAATGTTGTATAGCCCCTCGTGACCGACCAAAAGTCTAAAAATCTACGGTCGGCTTTTTGATAAAAAAAAAATTAACCGTTTTTTTAGAGAAAAAAAAGTATTTTATTTGTTTAAATGGGATATAAATGCATAAAATCAGAAAAATTATTCCCAATTCTCACTCGTCTTCTGCTCTAGTTTCGAAATCCTGCTAGCGTAATAAAATAGACCCCGACCTCGTGTACGTGTATATACCATGCACTGCACCAGCTAGAAACCAGCGAGATTTGGGCGACGTTCCCGGTTTTGATTTTTTGGGGGGCAACGGTCGCTGTTTTGAGGGGAAAAAAGAAAGAAATCCGACCGACCGACCCAGATTCTGGCACCTAAAGGGCAATCAAATTTTTGTTTAAGCCTGATGTTTGAAATCATAATTAATTTAACTTTTATGCCCTAACCCTCATTATGCCCGGGTTTTTAAAAAACAGAGGTAAAACTGAATCAGCAGTAAAACTGATGCAACAACGTTTCCTACAAGTTATCATTATTTAGCTAACCCTTAAAAAAGAACTTTATATTAAAAAACGTGCTAGCTAGTGTGCGGTCCTTGAAAAGATAGAATGACTTCCCACCGCACCTTTATTTCACATCCCCTCTTTTAATATTACAAATAAACACCTTCGATACAACGGAATTCATTGTCACGCATGTCGAATAACAATAGTGTTCACCACTATTATTGCCGTACAAACAACATTTGCCAACTATACGATGAAACGCTGGAAAATACATTTTCCTATATAGGTAAGGACTGGCTTGATCCAAGATGGCGGCACCAGAGGCGTCCGAGGGCCTAGATAGATGGCGCTATGCTGTGGCATTTGCAAAGTTTATCATCCACGTCCTTTATTCTGGCGTTCCTACTTCACTGTCCGTCCTCCTTCCATCTTTGGCCTACCAGCTGGACCTGGACCACACGACAGTTGGGTTCTTAATCACACTGGAGGTTGGGATGTTCTTCTTTGCTTGTAAGTCACTGATGTAAGAGAAAGGAAGAAAGATAGAGAGATAAAAATAGAGAGAGAGAGAGAGAGAGAGAGAGAGAGTGTGAGAGAGAGAGAGAGAGGGAAGGATGCTTGGGAGAGTGAGTGATGAAATAGACACCTTTATGATAATTAGAGAAAGCGAGATAAAGACAAAGGGAGATAAGAAAGACAAAGATAGATAGGTTTATAAAGATAGATCATGGACCCGACTACAGATGGACTAATAATGAGAGTCTTTATTTGATCACATCATGACCACCGCCACCTGAAAATGTGTATGTTGATGAGGACGTTCATTTGACGCGACGATGTTGATTATGTTATCAAGCATCCTCACAGACAAAATAACTTTTACATTCTTTCACTGGGCCAGGGCCCAGAGTGCAGTTTCAGGGAAAGTATCGTGATTTAAGACCAGTTAGAGGAGCAATGAACCCCAAATTATGACAATTTGTGTGATATTAGATTGATTATTAAAGAAATGGACACTGATAGACTTGCCAAACTTTGAAAAATACATATTCTTTACTGTCCTAATACCTTCTATTCCTTGAAAATGGATAGGATAAGTTTTTAAAGTGAAGTTTAAAATCATCATGTTACAGCCAAATTTACAGGTTTCTCTTGTAAACTACTTCTAATTTCTAACTTCATACACCTATATTAATTATGTACGCCATAACTGCACATGCATTTCCGTGGTTTTAAGCGAATCAGTTTCTTTTGCGCAGGCATTTTGTATATTCTTCACGGCATAGTTCTGTTTTTTATGGCTGACTGGCAGCGGTCGTGATGAGATCAAAGCTTGGAAGCATGTTTGGAATGTCAATATAATACTTTTGACAGAGACATGTGCATAAATGTATTATGGTACCGATCAGAGTCCACTTGAAGTAGGCCCATGGATAGATAGAGATACAAAAAAAAAAGAGAGAGAGAGATAGAGAGAGAGAGAGTGCGAGCGGGTGGGGGGGGGGGGGGGGGGGAGAAAGGTAGACTAGAATAAAAGATATTATCGAGGGAGACGGGAATATTCGTGTCCTTTATGGTCATCTGTGGTTCAGGGGCTGTATCCTGAAATCTAAGTTAACTTCAGAGTTACATATCCTTAAACTACCTCTTAATCGGTATTTTGAAAACTATGTAAAGTATTAATTTAATAATTATTAATGCGTATTTTTTAAAGCATTATCAATACAACTGTCATGTGCACTACCTATGTCCGAGCCTTTGTCACGAACGTTTTCATGAAAAGATACTTTCATTTCAAAGTTTTTCACGATTGTTTTACTATCAAAACTGATAGATTCGAAGAATCTCGTAGACTGTGATCACAGAAACCAGATCTGAAAAACATAAGAAATAAATATGAAATGCATTTCACCTTTAGATAGAGTGACAAACAATAACCACAAGACCTCTAGATCATTTGTATTTTTTGTGTTAACTTCTATGTTATCTTGTGGTTAAAAGATCACGTATAACGTCATTCAAAGAAGAGAGACAGAGAGATTTCTATGGGATATCTAAGATCATTAAACAAAATTCTCGGGTTGATTCTTGAAAAGCCTTTGTATAGGTGTTTAAAGTATCTTTCTTTCATAACTTAATAACCGTCTTATTATTCACCCAGGTCCGATTAGCAATTATTTGTTTCAGAAGTTCAATCCTCGTCTAGTAGCAACTTTGGGCGGTTTCCTGGCGGCAATCTCACTCATGGCAGCATTTTTCAGCCAAACAGCGGTTTCCCTCGGCTGCTCTTTCTTCTTCACAGGTAGATTTTAAGTTTAGACCCTACTCTTTTAATGAACCGTAATAGAACTTTAATATTCATGTTACTTTATACAAATATACTAGTATTTAGGGCCTTCTCTACATGGAAGTACATGTACTTCCCTTTTTAGGAGCGGATTAGAAGTCACTTCGTTTTGGAGTGAAAATTCACCCTCAGATAAGTGACCTCAGATAAAATGACCGAGATCAATCATGTTGAGTTGAGTTGAAGAATGAACATGATTTAAGTAAGTTTTAAGTTAATTTATAGTTCAATATAGAACACTAGGGATTACGGTATAGATTTATGAAGAGATATAATAATAATATTGGCATTTATATAGCGCTCTTACAGACATACATGTGTATCACAGCGCTTTACAACATATTATTATTACCCCGGTCATCGGATTCAGGCTTACCCGCACACAAGGTATGCACATTCTCCACTCCCTGGGGAGCATTCCAGCCAGTCGCCATTTTACAAGCGCCACTTGCTAATCAAACCACATTAGCTTTCGCATCCTACCGGGTACCCATTTTAACACCTGGGTGGAGAGTGGCAAATGTAGATCAATGTCTTGCCAAAGGACATTAGTGCCGCGGCGGGACTTGAACCGCGGACCTTGTGATCCACAGTCCGGTGACTTATCCACTCGACCACGACACCTCTAAAAAGATATGTTTCCTTCTGTAATGTTCTTCTTTTCAAAGAATTTCTACCTTTTTGAAAATTATGGCTTTTCTCTACTTGTTTTTCTTAGGAAAAAACACACACGATCGTTCGAACATAAAGAGGAATTGAACATGAATATAGCTTATTATGAAAGACAATTCATTTCTACTTCATGTACATTTGTTCTTGTTCCAGTTTAAAATACATTAACGGTAAAAATATTTAAGTCCACCTTTTTATATCATGCGCCCTCTATTTTTAAAACATCACCCCTGTTTTAAAACTGTTTTAAAACATCATCCATGAAGAATGAACAAAAAAGGAGCGATCGATCTGAAAATAAAAGATCCGGAAAATTGCTAATACTGAGAAAGCGTAATGTTTTGTTGTTAATTGTTACTATGCTCTTACATTTTCGCATATCCGCTAACCTATTGAAAAAAAAGTGTTATTAATTCTTTTGTTGTTGTTGTTCTTACTAGGTTTTTTCTCATCCCCGCTACGTCAGCTTTCAAGCATAACTCTCGAACAACATTTCGGGGACAAGTATGGATTCGCCGAGACTGTTACACACGTGGGTAGTCAATTAGGAAGTTTCCTCTTACCTTATTTTACCGTGATGTGTCTCAACGCCTATGGAACAAGAGGTGCTCTATTGTTTCTAAGCGCATTAATGTTTCATTGCGTACCGATGGGAGCCACCATGCGCCCTCCACGTCCACAAAACCGATCTGAAATGATGGGCGGCGATTTAAACAAAAGGGACGAAGATGATGACCAAGAAGTTAACCCGCTTCAAAATGTTGACGCCTGTGGAAGTGACGAGAATGATTTAAATCTAGAAATGGACATACAGGGTGACGAAGAAGGTATTTGTGAAAACGATGAGAATCACTCAAATCCAGAGGCGGATTCGAATGCCCAGCCATTGATTGGAAAAGGTCGGGCCAACATGAAGGTAAAGACATTAAGCGAAGACGAGAGTTATATGTCAATGACATTGACCGCTATCCGGGAATATATTCGGTCAGAAATTAATGCTAGTTTTTTGATGAACGAACGCGTTTTTATTTACCTGTTGCTTCCATGTGAGGGCATTTACGAAATATGCTACGCCAGTTGGGCATTCTTTTCAGTCTCCTACGGCGTATCTGTTGGAATTCCTGTCGAAAAAGCTGTGTATATTGTTATGATGGAATCTGTGGGTGGTATTACCGGTCGGGCGGTACTCATAGCAGTTCTTTACAAGTATCCGCTGTCAACACCGCAAATGCTTGCTGCTAACATCGGACTAGCAGCCATCGGACTCCTCGCTTTTTCCATCAATACGTCTCTGACGTATTTGATGATATTTTCTTTCGTCAGTGGCTTTGGCTTCTTCAATTCCTTCTCCAGTTTTTACGGTTTTGTATCCATAATCGTGAAAAAGGAGAATTTCGCAAAGGCAATGTCGTACTCGTTGATGCAAACTGGAGGCTCCTTAATGATATCGGGTGTTCTTACAGGTATGTAAATACTATTAACATTACATGACTACTTCACCCCCGAGACAAGGTAGTTGTCAGATGGGTAATTGCCTTTACTTTCCTCAGAGGGCAATGACTAAACAGGGGTGGTTGTCCGTATAAATTCAAATTCAAATTCTCAATTTTTTTCATAAAAACATCGGATAACAAATTTCAAAATTATAGTGCAACATAGATAAATGAGTGTAAGAGTAAAGATTAAATGACCACGAATTACAAAAATGAACATACTACTGGAAGATTTTTTTTTGGAAGATAATACAGGGATGAAAATAAATTATTTGACTCATAATACTTTTTACAGTACGACCCCATTCCAAATCCAATCTCTTGGGAGACAGTGAACATGGGACGACAATAAATTATGCTTTTTACATTAATACATTTTACCGAGATAAATACTATAATGAAGAAAAAAAAGCAAAAAAAAAAAAAAAGCAATAAAACAATCAATGATCTACTCATCTCGTATATGATCGTATTTCTATCTTATAATACTTAATATTTTAAAGTAAAAATATATTAATTGTATAAAGATAAACAGCAATGTAAATGAAAAATATAGTATTAATAATGATGATAATTATAATTATTGTAATATTAAATAGTGACAATAATATAATTGATAGTAATAATGATAATAATAATAATAATAATAATAAGAAGAAGAAGAAGAAGAAGAAGAAGAAAAATGATCATTAATATTGGAGTCTTGTATAGCGCTCGTGTAAGCTACAATGCCCCTCCTGGCGCTCCATTATTATCACACCGGCTTTACCAGGGCTGCCATTATGTCGCTCGATCATTTCAAAGAATACATTTTACCCATTTATCTCACGTAGGTTGAGTGTGACACAATATTTAGATTAATGTTTTGCCAAAGGACATTAGTGCTTCGACTTATCGAACTTATCGTTTTCTTTTTTTCTCTTAAAATTGATTTATGCAGTAGCCCAAAAACTGGTCTTCCCTTAAGCACATAACAATGACAACATTAAACATGTTCACGCGCACACGCACGTACGCCCACGCACACGCATACAATGTACGTGCGAAGGCCTGACAAAGAAACGTGCAATGCATTATATCTGCTGCCCGTAAATGAGAAATATCTTTTTCTGGCTTGTTTTCACGAAATGTTTGTGACAATATGGTTTATACTTGATAGACAAATTATACGTATTTATCTTCTGAGAACTTTGATTAATTTCCGTGACTTTAGATTGATCAATACAGTTACAAAAAGATGTTAACTTCTTCTATCAAGAATAATAATATTGTCATCATCATTATAATGCAAATATTTTTTTGGGGCAAAAATGTTCCGACTTAATGGGCAAAAGAGCATCTTAATTATTAATATTTCTTCCATCAGAGAACTTCTGCCGAACAGGTATCGAATCCACACGGGTTGATTTAGATTTTGCTACATTAAGATTGAATATCAAAATTTAAACACTGAATTTTAGTTTCTTTTTTTCTTCTTTTAATTGTTTTCCTTTCAGGTTTTCTGTATGACATTTTGGGGTCTTACCCAGCCATATTCCGTACCATGGGGGTGTTTCTTGTCGTCGATTGTTTGGCAATATCTACGTTCATCTTTGTCGACTCGCGATCAAAGCAAGGCAAAAGTGTTTGTACGTGTATGTGAGATCAATCGATATTCGGACCGAACATTTGCAGAATATATCACCATGAGATCAGAGATGGCAGGGTCTGATTGTTTATCCTTGTTTTACCTTTTCTTCCCAACCGCTACAAGATGCCCACCTCATCCTACCTTTTTCTAATTGGTTCTCAGTGTATAAAGCCAAGGTGGACTGTTTATGTATAGCTAATGAGCATCGGCGTATCTGAGATAAATATGCAATTATTTTCTTTCTCTTCTAATTGTCTTTTGGTCATTGTATTCAATTATTCTGGAATAATCTGCCACTAGAAATAAAGTCACTTTACTCAATGAACACCTTTAAAAGAAAACTCAAATCGTTCTTAAAGGTAAAGACCAGTATTGGTAACGCCCCAATTTCAAAAAATGAAATGGAAGCTCTCATTACCAATCATGTGAAAGAATAAGTTTTGACTAATACATGATGATAAAAAATTCGCCGGGAAACCGCCTACTAATTCATATATTTGGTAAATTTATCTCTCTCATGGTCGTGTGAGAGAGATAGGGTAGTCCCATATACATCTTTCTGTGTATAGTGCTTGTAACTTTACGAAGAATGGGCCAAATTTCTTATCATTTTGATGATTCCAGAACCTTGCAGATGCTAGATGCTAGATGATCAACCTTTTCTGATCGATTCCACAAAGTTTCTTTCACAATGCAATCGCATGACCATTACTGGTCTTTACCTTTAATCACAAGTGTTTGAAATGTTGAATTGTTGATTTTACTGCCTTGTATTGTCTTGTGGGTTTTTGCGTTACTAAGTAATTTGTTTAAAAAATATATCATATCAGGTTATTCCTTTATAGTCCTTTATTATCTTTTAAATCTTCTATATTATATTGAATGTTCAATAAAAGTTATTTTACCTTCATTAGGGCTGGTCGTCTCGACAAATCCCCATGGTTTTTTATGGCCACCCAAATCCAATAATGCTCTATCTTTTTTTCTTTTTTTCATAGGTTTTTATTCATTTCTCTCATAAACAAAAATTGTACATAATTTATAACATTGTATACAAACTAACAAAATAATTTTTAACATAGGTCTTAATAGATTTGCAAATGAACTTTTACATTTACATACAAGGTTCCAACTAAAGTTACACATTTACTGATGAAAAATATTCACATAAATGTTGTTATCTGATGTATCGCTTTATTGTTTCATCATTTTAACTTATTTTGTACTCTTGATCGATTTATACTCTTATTCTGTCATGATTGTATTCTGGTTTGTATATTTTATTGTAAATTAATAAACTGAATTGAATTGAATTGAATTGAAAGATGAATTGTTTATGTATGATTTATGAATCGAAATGGAATCAAAAAAGAATATTGAAATTTAAAAAGAACAGCTTATGAAGTGCCAAATGGAACTGGGAAAACCAACTTGACTCTAATGTCAAGAGTGGCAAATGTAGATTAATGTCTCGCCTGTAGAAATGGTGCTAACTAACCTTCAGTGGTTCTAAAACTTGCCAAATATTTAGAACTCTAAGAGTATTTTCCAGGGAAAACAATTGAAATAATGAGGTCAATATTAAGTATTATGCCTTGGTATTTCCTCGATCTCAATGCGAGATATAGAATAATCAAGATACCATAATGCAATTTACTCAGAGAACAATTGAATATGGAGCAAATTTGTGATTATTACTCTAGATTATTTGCCTTAAAGGGATCCGGTAACTTTGTCTCAGATTCTGAAACAAAATCCTGGATTTAGCTCATGCTGCAATGATAATTTTAAACTTTTAGGTCAGTCAGGAACCCCATGACTTTTACAAGTCGATCGCCTGCCTGATTATCAAGATATTTATGATTGGAAATCGAAACCAAATTTTGCGTTTTCTAACGGTTTTCATAACACTACACTGTATTGGGGAAAACGATTATGGTAAACCGGTCACTCAAAGATTTTTACTTTTTTGAGGCACTTCTTGATCATTTTGAAGCGCACTATTTTTGGGGAACGCGCGCACTTCCTACCATGACCCTGAGTCGCGCCTGGGTGGGCGGCACGCCGAGGGGTCATGGCAGGACGTACTAGTTCCCGAGAGCATTATAAAGCAGCCATACCTCGAATATTAAAGCAGTCGATATGTCTTTAAAATGCCGAATTGAAACAAAAATCTATCACGGATTCTTACCTTATCCTTTTATTGAGTAAAGATTGGTTAAAACATCATGGAAAATCTGAGACACTGTCTGTAATCTTTGCTTGAAAAATGACCGAAAGTTTCAATCATTTTGGAATCGCAGACAAAAAGCACTGTATGGTGTCCGCGCTCGCACAGAGAACATTTTAACACGTACATCAATGGGTATCGCAGCGAAATTTTTACTTTTTTCGTAGTAACCGGAATTTTGAGGGCTCTCACTCTTGGACTATTAACCGGTTCTGGCATTTTTCGTTTCTTTACGGGAATGGCTAAAATCACGACTCCAAATTCGACCTATCAGATGGCTGGATTTCTTATGTGAGGTATATAATTATATAATATGGACTGGCCTTGAGGGTCATACCACATACAATTTCCCAAACTAGATTCATATTGCCCCGAGTCAAAGACGAGGGCAATATGGGTCTTGTGAAAATCGAAAATTTCGTCAAGCAATGGATGCACAATGCTAGCTGGTTTGACAAAAAAATTTCAGTTCTTTGAGATTGTCATTTATGTAATTGCTCTAGATGTCTTATTTGGATAATAATAACAATATTGACTGGCTTAACTTTCGGGAGATACCACATATATTGCCCTCACAAGACCCATATTGCCGTCGTCTTTGACTTCTTTGAGATTGTCATGTATGTAATTGCTCTAGACGTCTGATTTGGATAATAATAACAATATTGACTGGCTTAACTTTCTGGAGATACCACATATATTGCCCTCACAAGGCCCATATTGCCCTCTTCTTTGACTCGGGGCAATATGAATCTAGATTGGGAAATATTTTGTGGTATCTCCCTCAAGGCCAGACCATGATATATAAATAGTTAATAGGGACTTTTAGAATGAGTGGACGAGAACACGACGTACGCCGACTGATCATGCGTGTCAACGTACTCAACTGCCCATGTTGACTACAATTAGAAATCTTTTAGATTGCACTCGACGATATACATGTATGCAGGAAATAACACTATGAATTACATGACAGACAAAGAAAGAGGTCAAAATATACAGTTCCTCATTCTACCCTCAACAATAGGCCATTTTCTTAATGTAACCAAATTTAATGCATAGGTCTTTGTGAAGTGCCTCAATACAAATTATTTCAATCACCTGATAGGAATAGTAGTATTTCAATAGTCAGAATGCAACTGCATATATTAAGTGTTGCTAGGTAGGTCAAGCCATAAAGTTTGTCCAACGTGGCAACAACTAATGTATGCAGTTAGGATTCTGTCTATTGAAATACTATTATTCTTAACAGGTGAATGAAATATTTTGTATTGAGGCACTTCACAAAGACCTATGCATTAAATTTGGTTACATTACGAAAATGGCCTATTGCTGTGGTAAAACATCCCTTCACTGCTCTTATGTAAAAATGTGTAGAACAGGTGAATATGCATGTGACACTTGTTCTACACATTTTTACATAATAGCAGGGAAGGGATGTTCCTTTGTCTACCTGAGGAACTGTATATTTTATGCGCACGCGGCATATACTAGTATCGTACTAGATTTAGGAAAATCAAGGTTGACGCATTCTCGATCGCCGACTGAGACGACGTGACGCAGCGCAGTGCCTTAAAATGACGTCACACGTTGCAGTCAAAGCTGAAAACGTGCAAATGTAAAAGTCCCTATTATCAGTGAGAATTATACGAGCTATTCACTCAATGTTTGCACACGTTAATGGCGTAGGCCAAGGCTACTATCTTCGTTTCGCTTGAATGAGTTCAAAGTACATGTCATGGCAGTGCGGCTCTCTTTGTGGGTGAAATATCACTTCGACCTACGTACATATGACCATGTGCATTCGACTTTGGTTTGTTATTATCATGATTATCAAAGCTGAATATATAGCGCCGTTTTGCTTACCCATCCTAAGCTAGAGTGCACATATTCAGGTGATAACAATAGTGTTTGCTTGCTCTGTCTGCTTGGAAGCTGGGGAACTGCCTTTGCCGTGGTAAGAATTATGGTTCTGTGTTTTTGCGGAATATTACAAGTACAGTACATGTATATAGTCGGGCTAGCGTTGAGCGAAAATACCGTTTACGATTCATTGTAGGAATGTAATTAGACTTTTTACACGTAGTATTAGGAAAATGTGTCATTTTGTTGAGAATATCTATGCTTATGCGTAAGTAGTCCTATTAAGACGTTATCGTGAAACATATTTATATTCCCAGTGGCATTTTTATGTCCACGTTCCCTAGCTAGGATAAATTAATGAATTACTAACAACAAGAGCGTAGTTCCATACAATGAGTGTTACTAGGTGGGACAAGTGTTATGGCTTGTCCTACCTAATATCACGGAAAGCATGCAATTCTCATTCTGACAAATACAGTACTATTATTCACCAAAACGGCGGCCATTTGAGACGTCCATTCCGATCTAGAGGTGACCGCTAATGATACATATCTCTGAATTATAATTGGATGAAATCTTTCGAAAAAACAAGGTTTTTTAGTGGTATTTATAATAAACCCCTGTAGCTTCTCTGACATTGGCCCCCTTGGTGTAAAGGATGAAAACATGGGAAGAAATATTATGATAGCTAGTTTTGAATTCATGACAGAGCAAATTTTTTATTTTTGTCGTACGTACCACAAAATATATAAAGAATCCGAGATATTAGATGAAGAAGAAGATGAATATTATAAAAGAAAAAAGCAAAAATCTAGAAGAGAAAAATAGAAACAAAAGACACGGTCTTAAAGACTTTCGAAAAATAAGATTGAAGGACATTTTTATCCCATCGTAACAATGTTCGGATTATGAAAATGGATTTGAGCATACATTTTTTTTTCTCGTTTTCAAATCGAGACTTTATCGCTGCATATCGATTAAAGTTTCCCCTTTTTCTCTTTTGCCGAATACCATCCGATTTCAAGACTTGTTAGGGGAATCACTGTGACGTCATGTCTGTCGAGGTAGTTCAGAAGAATATGGGGTATCTCTTGGAAGGCCCCCATTGGGATGACGTCACAAATACACTTCTCTATATCGACATCTATGGCAAGCTTGTCCATAGCTTCAACCCAGTGACTAAGGAGGCCAAAAAGGTTATGGTCCGTAAGTTTATTTTCTTACACTTATACTAATGAGGTAAGGGACTTTGAGTGGGTTGCGGCCCTTGGGGGCGATACCCCGATTGATACAAATTAAGTCGAAGCATTTTTCCGGCCTTTTCGGCGAATCGCGATAACTGCTGATTTTATATATAAATTAAATTTTTTCCTTCAATTTTTCATTATTTATTCACTTATTGATAACTTTATTGATAAACGAATAATTGGTTATTAAAATGAATTGATAAATTAATCAAAGATTTTTTATGTATTGACTAATCCGAACATATATTTTCCATTTGTTCATCTATATATTTTTTTGAACTATTAATTTAGTTACTTATTTATTCATTCATTAGTTTATTTGCATTATGTTTGGAGTGATGTTGGGAAATTAGTTTATCATACTTTCGGCAGATTCGGGAAGGAGATGGGGGGAGGGGGGGGGGGGGGTTCACTCTGTGAGTTTACCCTGGAGCAGGGCCTGTGTATTGTAGGTCCCTGTCGTGGTAGTATTTCATGATTAGACCCATCATGTTAAAAGTGTAAATTACACGATCTCACAGATTTTCAAAGAAATATAGAAAAGGGCAATTTTAGTCCCTTTTTGTCATACCTATGGACTGAGTACCGAAATGTGACGTCATATTGGCCAAATTGCAAATATTGCTGGTTCCAAACAATTATAGAGTGCATACACCAGCCCCAAACACTGAATTTGCCCTGCTCCAGACCGTTAATTATAAAATTGCGCGGTGAACCTCACGTACAGATTCAGTAACCTGGTCGATGAGCAAATATAACGTTAACACGTAGGTACTCTATACAAAATGATGTATTGTTTTTCCTTCACAATTGTTTACGCTTGTTTTATACCATTTTGTAACGGAAAGGTTATTCCTCAACCCTTTAAATGGCGATAATTATAACTCTTTTACTTTGTGATTTCATGTTTACCCTTGACCATTTAATTAGATGATCAAGTTGGAGCGGTTGTCACTACATCTAGCGGGAGAACCTTAGTGAGCGTTGGTCGCGAGATTGGCCTCGTCGACTGGGAGACGGGAACATTCGAAAGACTGCTTGAAATCGATATGAAAGAGGGGACCAGGTTCAACGATTGCAAATGTGACCCAGCGGGAAGATTCTGGGCAGGTAAGGGCCATAGTAGTAATAGTGATGAAATCAGTAATGGTAATAGCTAGTAATAGTAATATTAATAGTAATAATAATAGTTATGGCAATGGTTATATTGATACTAATGGTAATAGTAATAGTACTAATTAATAATACTTAGTAATTTAAACAGTAATAGTAATACTAATAGTAATTAATAGTCATATAATAGTCGTGATAATCGTACATGTATTAGTATTTGTAACAGAAACATTCAGAGTAGGTTTAATGATGTTAATTATACTAAAATAGTAATAATGGTGCATTTGCGTCTGTCTTTCTTTCTTCTATAAGTCATTCTCTCTTCCTCGCTATTCATTTCCCTCTGTCTTTCATATGCTAGGAACGATGGCTATTCAGGATCCCACGAAAAGTTCTGCAGAGACCGAGAAAGGACAGGGCTCCCTCTTCTGTTTGCATCATGACAAGAAACTTAATGAGTGCGTGCAGAATGTAGGTTTCTCACCTGAAAATAATGTAGAACCAAGGAGTTAGGAGAGATACACCCCGGAACATATATTTCCCCCTATAAATAAGATGCTTTATTCTATTTGACAGTTTTAAGTTACCGGCAACCCCTTGGAGAAATATGTGTATAACCTTCCATGCGCACAATGTTATTACCAACCATCAACTTTCAGTTGAAGGAAAAAGATGTCGCCCTCTTTGGCACTCATTTGGATTCTGTCTTATTTCGCTTAAATGTCCGAACATTTCATGAAACACGAATTAAACGTCATTTGGCAAACTCTTAAGAAACTGAATCGGGGATATGGAGCATTAAAGAAATAATAAATTATCTGTCAATTCATTTAATGATCACGTTATGTAATATAATAAGTTTATATGTTGTTGTGCTGCTTCGGTATATCACAAATTCCTCATTTTTGATGTCATATTTACTCAAAATTATGCCCCATAGTAATAACGTCGAGGATGATCAATGTACTTTTTCATCTGTTTATGAAAAAGACATTGAAGGTTACCCTTTCGAACGTAATCATCCTGTGACCTGTTGTGGGAGCTTTCATGGGGGCGAGAAAGCGGAGGGAAAAGGGGAAGGGGGGGGGGGGGCAAAGGGGTGACGCCAATATTTTGAAGGGAAATCCAACATTCATAGGAAACGACTCAAACTCAATTGAAAATATTTTCGAAAAATCAACTCAAGTGAAATAGCAATATCCTATTTGTATGTCCTATAAAACTAATGTTTGGATTACGTAATAGATGGAACATGATTTGCTCCTTCACCCCTATGTGTCAGTACTTGCCGACTTTTCTTTATTCAGTCAGGCAAAACCATACCATTTATCAAAACCACACAGTTACATCTTTGCTAATAATATATTTTTTATTTATTGTAACAATCTCAAATCGCAGGTGGATATTTCAAATGGTTTGGCCTGGTCCAGCGATCGCAAAACAATGTATTACATCGATTCGCTGACGTATGGAGTGGATGCTTTTGACTACAACATCAAAACCGGTGAAATTGGTACATAATCATTCCCATGACTTATAAAGCCGATATTCAGTCAACCGAACATCCTCATATCAAGGAAGCCAGGAGCCTGAATATCCTCATAGTTGGGCAGTGAGAAGCTCGAATATCTATTTTCTGTAATTTTCACCAATTCCCCCCCCCCTAACTTCACGCGTTCAAGAAAAATTTATAGCCCGGAAAAGGCTTTGCGCTATTCAAGTCTACGAACCTGATATAATATTAGGTAAATTCGTTGCGCCAGACCTTCAGCGCAATAATTTCAAACACTGTTCATTCTGCATTCTTTTTGTAAAATTATGACGTCATCCCCACGTAATGCGTCAAAGCCAGTGGCAGCTGCTGACGCTGAAATGCGTCAGCAAACGACGCCTCGTGTGCAACGGACATAAAGTCATTGTAGATATATAGAAAATTCACTGAGTCATTATAAGTATATGTACTACTGTTATATGGAAAAGTAGATGCAGTTGCATCAATTTTGGAGGATATAATCTTTTCTAACCATTTATTAAACACGACTGGGAGAAAATAGGGCTATTCACCAATGCGAAAATATTAATGAACCTCTACATAATAGGCTATATCATTCATTTCTATAGGCAATGTCATAATGATATTGAAATTTTCTTCCAGAATACTTTTCGACTTTTTTTTTGGAGAGCATAGTTCTGCCAAATCGATCTTGTCACAACTTTCTTTTTTCTTTTAATGCATTTAATTGTCAAATCCGCAGCAAACAGACGGCAGGTCATCAAGGTCTCTCAGTCAGACGGTATCCCGGATGGCATGTGTATCGATACCGAGGATATGCTGTGGGTAGCCATGTTTGATGGATGGTCCGTTAACAGATATAACCCTAAAACAGGTAAGAACAAATGACGAAGATAGTATCATCATGGTTCGGGAGCATAATTGTTCATAACAACACACAGTCGACGGGTCGCCAATATCCCGATGGCATCTGTTATAAAATACTTTGTTAAAGCATAACGATCACCATTACAGGCTACACAGGCAAAGAAGTATACTGTCTAAATTGGTGGAGGGAGGGGGGGGGGGACGACGCCACAAGACAAATTGGCGTTTTATCTATCTGTAACTTAAGGGTAATCATAAGTAAATAATTATTACAAAGTTACGACTGATCGAAGGAGATAACCTTATTTTTTGTAAGATACATTTAGTGTGTACTCTTTTTTTAATTTTTTTTTACAGTGCTCTTAATATCTTTTCTAGTGCCAATTTAAAAAATGTTTGTCTAATGACTTTTCCGTGTGTTTCATAGCTAAAAACTGAATTGAATTGTGCTAATTCGTAGATCAGCAACCCGGTCGCATCTTCTTTTCTTTGAACTACAGATGTACACACAAATGATCTTTTCTGAACTTTCTCCCTACCAGGTGAAAAACTTCGATCCATCAAATTCCCAACCAAGAACATCACAAGCTGCTGTTGGGGCGGGGCCAATCGTGACGAACTCTACGTGACGTGTGCAAAACATTTTCTGAATGCAGACGAACTCGAAGTACAGGATACTGCTGGCTCACTCTTCCGGGTCACTGACCTTGGGGTCACAGGGGTCAAGTGTGACGTATTTAAAGATATTTAATGGTGCTTTGCATACCTTATAGGTTTAACATGCCCAGAATAGGTGCTCCGATATTTTGCTCCTGGTCTTATTTCATTAGATATGTATATGTTATGAGTTAGGCTAAGAGTAAGGATTAGAACGTTTATTTTTCTTCAAATAAAGTCTTCATTCCATTTTCCTCAAAGCAATAACCAGTGTATAAGAAAATGTACAAAATGATGGATACGTTAATGTGACAAAGTAAGGTACAATGAAAGCAAAACAAGATTCTAGTATTTAGGCCTTGATAAGTTGGACTTGCCTCTGTCTATCAAGACATAGAATAAATCTTTCTTGTTGCGCATAGACTGTTCAACTTCATAATTATATTTTAATTTCTTTTGAAATCATGGAACCGATAAAGATCCCTTCAAACATCTAATTGAGTATATATATATATATATATATACTTTTTTGCATACAAACTAATGAAATTAAACGAGGAATAATTTCCATCTTGGATGCCAAAGATGAGATTATTAAATGTTAACTTCTGAACAAACGTCCATAAATCCAAATGGGATACACCTTTCATGACAACAATTTCCAATCTGTCGGTAATCTAAATGTTGATGGCGTCACCTTTCAACGTGAACCTGTCAATAATATGAATATTCATGACGTCTAACTCGTTCACAATCTGAATATTCATGACGTCTAACTTGTCGACAATCTGAATGTTTATTCGTGACTTTCATTCATAACCTGTCGACAATGTTATTCTCCATCTGAGTGCATCAAGATATCCCTTTATAAAGATGTTTCGTAACCTTAAAAATATGTTTGTTACATCGACAAAGAAATATAAAACATGATATTTTTTATATTCTTATCACGAAGTGAATGTTGTTTTGTGATGCTCATGCCTGTTTAATTATTTTCTTCACTCTTTCCTTTCTTTCTGTATGACCTCTGGGAAGAGCAGCGCCATTCAATTAATGGTTCTGTATAGAGTGGTCCATCCGTAGTAACTAATTGCAATGACGAACCTTCGTCATTGCCTTGTTTTCGTTCACATTCTGCCCCATTAATATTCTCCTTAGTATATTCCTTATCGTCCGGAAATCACATTCGTTTTGCACGTAGTGCTTGTTATTCCCAGTTAGGTGCCTTCATCATATCCATTTCCTTCCAAATTTCGTAGGCATCATCTCTAGCATCTCATCAAGGTCACCTACTTTTTCGATTTTCGAAATCACTCATGCATGACCGTCCAGGCGCCATTTTGTCCGTTTCTGGTCCATTTTAAGGCCTTTATATCTTCCTTCCTATCTCCAATATCCTAGATCCTACAAACTTTTAACAAATTCCTCTAGATAGTCTGAGAGATGTTCTTTAATCTGCTACGTATAACCTGCCCTTCAAAATGCTATCTTCATACTCGAAATTCAAATCTAAAACCGACTCCGTCAAAAATCTCTCAAGTTCTTGAAAAATGGACCCCTAAATAGTCTAAAACTGCCATAACTTTCTCATATAAATTCCGTTTTGTATTTAAATCTCACAGTATCTTTATCTTATAATTGCACATAGCCATGCCAAATTTCACGCTCCAATGGCTTTGCACAACATAAATAGCGCCCTCTAAAGTTCTGGGAATTGGCTTTCTCTCTGTGGCCGTATCTCCATAATGGCTTGGCAAACCCGTACCTTTTTTTGGATTTAGATACTTGAAGATATGCCCTTTCCAGCCATATACAAAATTATATACCCTATCACTGACCAAATTTGAGAAAATTGCCCTCCAAATTCGCCATTTTCAAGAAAATTGAGAAATAACTTCAACTTGCTCCAAAATGGCGATCGTTATACTTACATCAATGAAACTTTGCAGACATATGTATCCATATACGTGACAACTGTTTAACAAGTTTGGTAAAATTCGAATATGTCAGCGCAAAGTTATCGCCAAAAATGATGAATTTACTATGGATTACGTAATAGCGCGTTCAATGCGCGCAATACATTGCGCGCAGTTAACAATGGTGTCAAAGTGACCGCAATGAAGTGCCCTTTTGGATGATACCAAGTATTATATATGTTCACACAGAAAATTGTGAGTAAATCGCATTTGAACAAAGATCACTACACGAATTCCGCCGAGGTCCCGCCCGAACCTAACACGTTTCGGCTATGACGTCATTTTTTCAGACTGCTTTTCGCCCCTTAAAAGTCCTTTTTTTTCCTTGAAATTTTGCAGTGACATGCCGAGTTCCAATACGCAGGGCACCACTTGGCCGGATTTTTGAAATTGGTCAAGGGGGCCATTTAAGACGCCATTTTGTCCTATACATCTATTTTACATCACGTGTTTCGATAGGATTATCATAGAAAAAAAGAGAGTGGTTTACAATAACAACCATGAAATTCTCTTTCTAATGATACCAAATACGGCCCATAAAGAGACGTAAAGAGAGAGAGAAAAAACAATTTAACTCCGGCCATAATACAGATCCTGCACGTTTTCCGCCCATTCATTACACGCATTGTCTATGGGGCATATCGGGTTCACGCTTTTGGCCCCCAGAACGAACTTGATTGCAATGTCAAACATGCACCAAATCCCATTGGTTTGTGCACGCAGTGCTGGCAAGCCCTTTCTAGGTTCTTTCCCCTATCCCAATTTCTTTCAAACTTCGTAGGCATAGTACCATCCCATCAAGGTCACTGTTGATGCCTTTCTTTCGCCCTACCTATCTCCAATATCACAGAAGCTACAGACTTCGTGCTAGTCCGAGAGAAGCTCTTTCGTTTGACACGTAGAAACACGGCGTCATTGCACGCACATCGTTCTGACACGATTGCATTTCTAGTTATTTCCTATTTTCATTAAACATACTGTATGTAATATGTATAATTGTTTTATACGGAAAGTAAAGCCGAACCAAACCAAACTAAAAGATATGTTTACATAATAAATAAAAACTGAGGAGGAAATATTTCTATTTATAAATAATAATTATAAAAAACGGTGATTATAAAGCGCTTACCACCGAAGTCTATAACCGCTACAACAAACAACAAACAAACGCTATGTGAAACATGTTTAATTGCATGGGTGAAAAGATTCGTTACTACATTTCTAGTTAGCTAGTAGGGATATGGACAAATGGGAGACGAAAATTGTGGTATAGACAGGAAGGTAGTGAGAGAATGAGAAAGAGAGAAAGAGAGAGAGAGAGAGAGAGAAATAGAGAGAGAGAGAGAAGAGAGATAGAGAGAGAGAGAGAGGGAGAGAGAGAGGGGGAGAGAGAGATAGATAGAGAGAGAAAGAGAAAGGGAGAGAGAGAGAGAGAGAGAGAGAGGGAGAGGGAGAGAGAGAGAGAGAGAGACACACACACACACACACACACACGGGGGGGGGGGGGGGGGGTACTAGTTTTGCTAAAAGTGACATGCACCTTATGCCTATTATACATAACTGTGTACTACACAAACATGTGGCATACAAGTTTGGTCCAATCACTTCAGCTATTTCTTGTCATATTTCACTAACATAAAGAGAATGAAATAGCTAGCTCACAAATTATTTCCACCCTTCCCAAATCTGGATAATCTGTCTTTTTCTTCTTCTTTAAAAAAAAATACTAAAACCCTCCTATTAAAAGACATTGCCCTCCACCGTTACCCAGATGACCTAAAATAAACCGGGTCCAAACAATTGGTAATACGGGAGAAAAAAATACAAAGACAGGTTCACCACGTATAGTTTACCGAACGTCAAGTTTCCAGCCACATTTTACATTTTTTTTAAAGACTCGTGATGCTAAGGGAGTCATCTCATTTTAAGAATCCATCTGGCAGTTAAAAGCATTACAAAATGCTCAGTCCAAAATATCATTTGAAATACTTCTTGAAATTCATGGTTTAAAGGATGCATATGGAAGTATCCGTTATTGCTCACATGAAAAAAAAAGACAAATTATGAAATAAAATGAGAGCTTTTATTAGGAAACAAGAGACACCGGCCCTGAAATAATATTTCGCTGCATGAAATTGCGTAAAATGTGACTGATGTGGGCATGGATTAATATGACAGAGGTTCAAAAAGCCGTAGAGATCATGCATAACATTACAGGACTTTTACGGTTCTTAAATGAAGGTGCTTTTACATGACCTTAGAACAAATATTTTAAGAGTCCTTTGAAAATAATTATTCTCCCCCTAGCATCTCATTTAAAAGATGTGAGATGAGAATTTATGAAATTTGAGGCTCAATAGTTGGAGAAGACCCCTATTAAATTTGCTGAACATTGCCTCCATTTTGCCTTCTGAACCTCTTTTTCATATCATTTCGTTTATTTTTCAGTTCTGAATACATAAATCAGTATACATCAAAACATAAATGAAGAAGTTATGAACTTATTTTAAACAGAACTGGCCAGCGCTCCAAGATAAGCGAAGGTTTATGCCTTGTGAGCACTGACAATTAATTTCATGTACAAGGAAAATAAATACATCAGGGGATTCCTTGTGATGCAAAAGTACAAAGAAGAGAAGAATGAAAGGTATAGACTGAACAGAGAGAGAAGGGAAGAGAGAGAGAGAGAGTGAGAGAGAAAAAAAGAGAGAACAAGAGAAAGAAAGAGAGAGAGAGAGAGAGAGAGAGAGGGGGGGGGGGGGAAGGAGAGATAAAGAGGAAGGGGGGGGGGGGGGTGAAGTGAGAAGGAATTACAGTTGAATGCGCACTTCACATGTCGTTTTTTGTTTTTATTGTTGACAAAACTGCGCATGCGCATCCTGTTGAAAGAAACAACTAGCACTGGACAACAAAGTTCTTGAGAATGGTTATAAGTCCCCTAAAATTATTTTGAAACTGCGAACAAATGTGACTTATGTGAAATTTGGAGAAATAGAGTACCAAATCATAAGCTGAGGAGACGTCTCAAAAATTTGCAGGGAGATGTGTGCCTTTGACCTTCCCCAAATGTCAACTCCCATAGGTTCACATGCAAAGACAAGATGATTATTCTTACCCTAGAATCTCTTTGAATTGATACGGCATTATTTGAAATTTCAAGAAATGGAAAAACATAAGAAAGGCTCAAGAGTTGGAGAAAACCCTTCATAAATTTGCAGGAAAGTGCATTATTTTTGCCTTCCCAACCACTTCATTGGCTTCTTGATAAAACTGTGCATGGCGACATGCGCATTCGGGGGAAAAGAGACAACTCCTCATCTCTCATATAGATTAACACGGGAAAACAAGGTTCTTGAAAACGGTTTTAATTCCCCTGGTATGACTTTGAAATCGCGTAAAATGAGACTCATATGACATTTGCGGACATGGAATACCATAACGTAAACTCGAAAAGCTGAAAAGACCTTGCATAAATTTGCAGAAATATGCATGGGTGCTTATGACTTTCGAAACAATCTGAAATCCCACGGAAGATTGAATGCACTTATTGATTTAGAGCATGAATGCAAATATTAAATCGCGCATCAAAATATGGAAAAGTCACAACAACAAGGAAATAGCTAGCACATAATTTTAGATACTCGAGTGTCTGGTATATCGGGATTGGCTTCAAGTAATCGTAACAAGATGAAGGAACCTGATAAAAGTATAATGATTGGTTTGCTTCTGTTTATGCATGTGATGACAACCGCAAATGCTGTTGGTGAGTTACATTTAATATTTCGTTTGTACAGCAAGGTACAAAGCTTATCAATCTTGCAATTCTTAAGGGTGATTACGAAGCATTGGTACATAGTTTTCCCATGTGTATTATTAATAGGTGTGTTACCGTGCGTATGTACATAGTAACTTCTTCATATTGTGTTGCAACATACCCAGGATACCAGATCACCGTTTAGTACAGTCTTATGGTCT